TTCCCGCCCTTTCTTCTCCCGCCTCCCGTAGACTTCCCGCACCCTTTACTCCCGGCTATATTCTAAAAAAAATTTAAGTTAAAGCCTTGAGCAGCCTTTAGCAAAAAACCCTTTTATAATTGTTGATTATGAACTTGCATAAATTAACTTGGCTATTTTGATTATTGGAAATAAAATTGTTTTCCCCCAAATGGTACTACATATATGAGTATAGTTATACCAATGAAAAGAAATATTAAAAAATACCAACCCAAAAAGAAAGTGCACATTTTTTACACGACTGTATCTTTTTCAATAGAAACAGAGTTACTAGCTTATAATGACACTTTTCCAGCATTCCGACATCGTATATTTTGACACGGTCTACAAACTACAACACCGACACCAACTAAATAACTGAATATGTATGAAACGGTTTATCGTTTTTTAATCGCGACCTCTTGTGAATTAGCCAAGATAAAACACCTCCACTTCATCAGGTGAGAACTTGTAAGTCCCAGCCAGGATTGTGTACTTGTCTTGTACTCCACTTGGAACAGAGTAGGAGTAAAAGTAAGTTTTTGAATTAGTGTTACTGTTCGCATTGTTGGCAATGCGGATGTCGTGCCCGCCACCAAATGTTGGACCATAACCTGAGTTTCCTGTAAATTGCATATTGCGCCATTGACACCATGCTTTTTAAATGGTGGCAGACCTTCTTTGTTGCGGAGAGAGAAAATGAACGCGTTGGAAGTAGAACCATAACTACCACTGGAATCTGAAACATCATTTGAAAAAACAAGATATAAATAACAAACAAATGATATTAACAAGAGAGGGTAATAGGCCATGTTCGATATCTGCCCGTTAACCTTACTCATTGTATCCCAGTCTCTCGCGGTATTAATAAATTGCTGCACAAAGGAAAGTTGGCAAATTAGCAATTTTATCCTTTTAGTCTCCAATGCCAGGTTTACATTTGACATGTCGAGCGTGGCATATTATCTTAGTCATTTTAACCAGCAAACCATGGTTAAAATATTCGACGTGTAATCACAAGGAAATACTAAGAGAGCTTTGCAGTATTTCATGGTTTCATGTACTCCGCCTGTTTACCCATAGGTTTAATAACAATCATGCATTTAAAAAGTGACAATAGCTGTTTATTACTCGCAAAGCGAGGTCGAGCGTACGAGGTTTATGATTTTGTCGGCAAGGAGCACAGGCGGGATCAAGTACAGTCACATTTCTTTATTTATTTATTCTGCCAAACACCATCCTTACTCGCCTGTCAATCTGATCATCGGGACCCGGCGGCCCCGGTTCGTATCCGCCCGGGTTTTCTTTTTTGTTGTTTTCTTTTTTTAATTACACTGCGAGTTGGAACAAGGAACGACTCCTCAAGAATTGCTCCCAAGCTTAGCGCAGTGAAGTTTACATTGAATACGCGGTACTCAAAACGTAGCCAAGAACAGTGGTCCATATCGCGCGACTTTGCTGGCTTTGTTATATATTGTAATGAAATTACAGATTTACCAGCCTGGGGAAGTTATACACACAGACTGTCAGCAGAACTGAACACCTCTACCCTTTCACCCAAAAATGCACCCTTAAATCCAACAATCGGATCCAAATTTCGTTAAATTTTATTTCGTTCGCGAGGTTCTTTGAGACACGTATTTCTAGTATTATACTGATCCATACCCCAAGGGAATGTCAGTGAAATCCTCCAAACACGTACTGGTTCTTTTTGATGATGGTCACCGTGTTACGTTTACCATCACACCTGCCTATGGAAGGTACTTGACGCCCAGCCGTGAGCGGGAGGCGCGGTAACACAGCTTCCAATATAGATGCGAACCAGCTACGGGATCCAGAAATCGAGTGAGATAACTCAAGAAGAATTCATTGCCTTGGATAATATTTGATTGTATTATTATCGTCGACCCTGAAAGAAGAAACGAACGTTTAAATTAGTGAATATATTGACAGATAGTATTGGCGTGACACTATACATCCACTCCCTTCTCAGTTAAACGCATCAAAGCAAGTAATTTAGTTGTTTCTGGCATGGCGAAAGGTTACAGTCGTTTTATGTGAGAGCGGTTTTTGTAGAGTTGCAACATCCATTTATTCGGGCTTGAAGCGATGCAACTTTACCTTCAGTTGTATTTCGAGTTTTTATCTTTGGAAAAGCCGATCTATTATATCACAGGCAAGCACGGAAAGTCATAGATAATATCATATAAAACACGATAACAACGAAAAAACGGGGATAGAAACGGATAATTCATGTTTGAAAAACATTTTTCAATAGAACGCCGTTTTATCCAAACAAGGACATGCGTATCTGTATTCCACATTTCTCTGACAGGGGTTTCATTAATTTTTGGAAGTAAGCAGCTTACCATGGTTGTAATAGGCGGCTGTGACTAATAAAGGGGCCGTAATGAAGCGGGTATGGGGGCATGCCCCCCCCCCCCCCCCCCCCAGAAAATTTTGGAAATGTAGAAAAGCTCGGAAATGAAATTTCCAGCATTTCTGGGAGTCAAATCTAGTGCTCTATATATATGACAATTTTTATTGATCACAGTAGATCTCAGGTATTTTAAACGATCTCAGCCAGGGGAAGTTATACACACAGACTGTCAGCAGAACGGAACACCTCTACCCTTTCACCCAAAAATGCCACCCGGCCTAAAAATCCAACAATCGGATCTAAATTTCGTTAAATTTTATTTCGTCCGCGTGGTTTCTTCGAGACACGTATTTCTAGTATTTTTACTGATCCATAACCCCAAGGAATGTCAGTGAATGCTCCAAACACGTACTGGTTTCTTTTTGATGATGGTCACCGTGTTATGTTTTACCATCACACCTGCTATGGAAGGTAACTTGCCGCCCAGCCGTGAGCGGAGGCGCGGTAACACAGCTTCCAATTTGGATGTGAACCAGCCACGGGATCCAGAAATCGAGCAAGAATGACTCAAGAAGAATGCATTGCTTTTGGATAATATTTGATTGTTGCGGTCGCTTAAAGAAGAACCAAACATTTTTAGCGTGAAACTAAGTGAGTAATTTAATTATTGCTGGCATGGCGAAAGGTTTCAGTTTCTTTCAGGGTTACACTATCTTACGACTTTGAAATATTTGCTTGTTTAAACCCCAGATAATCCCATTCATTCGGGGTCGAAGCCAAGGAACTTTACTTTCAGCTGTATTTCGAGTTTGTTAGTTAGAAAGCTGATCTAACACGGTTTGCCATAGATAATGTAAACAAGTAACAGCGAAAAGCGGAGATAGAAACGGATAATTTATGATGGAAAACATATAAATCACGTTCTGCTCTCGACGCGAAACAATGTTTCTTTCCTCTTCCTCTTTTATTAACAAAAGGACATGCGCATCTGTCTTTACATTTAATTTCGTTTTTCCTGCTTCTATTCAATATGTTTTTAATATGTTTGGGAATCATTAGTTAAATGCTGTTATCAATATTATTTTAAAATGCCTCTTACCTATACACGAAGACTGAACTCCTGTCCAAGTACCATTCTCAAGGCAGTGACGTTGTTGTGATCCTTTTAGCCAGTAACCAGGATTACATGTGAGTGTAATGTGTTTTCCTTCCAGTATTGCTGTCCGTAAGTAACACCATACTCCAAGCTTCCCAAAGGAGGACAAGTTCTGTGAAACCCTTCATATTTAAAAGTAGTGACGGGAAAAAAGTTTGAGCGGTTTTCAATTGAGTGTCGAAAGTAATTCGGAATTGCTTTGGTTTTAATTTCCTACGGCTTCATGATTGGTTTAAAAAAACTCGCGCCACGTACTCAACTAATCAGATGCAAAACCAAAACCAATCACTTAACTTGGCCACACGCGTTTTTCCCGCGCTTGGTGCCAGTTACGTGTATCTGCTTCGAGTTAATTCATTGGTTTCGTTTCTTTGTTTACGTTTGTTTGTGATTGGTCATTGTAATTGCATTGGTTTTGGTTTTACGACACTCAACTGAAACCGCTCTATAAGCGAGAAAAAAACAAATCCGAGCAATGCTTGATCTACTATGTCCCCCCAGTTTCTTCTTCAATCCTCACATTATTCCAATTTAATTTATTGTTACAGACGTTGCCAGTAAAAAGAAAAGTGTAATATAACTGCATAGCATGTTATGCAATAACTGAGATACAGTGGAAGTTCCTGTAAGCAAACACCCTCGAAAAGCAGGAAAAGTGTACGCAACTCTGGAGCTGGCCGCTTACGGGAACGCGTGTAAATACAGAGTTTGTATGAGCTAGAGTTCAAGCGGAGTTTTGTCAAGGCAGCCGTTAAGTAGAGCTGTCCGCTAAATAAGAGAGTGTCCCGCTCGGAGTTCTTCGACTGTATGGTTTCGTGATCTATCAGCGGACAGACACATAGATGACGTCACTGCGCCGCATTCGCATTTATTTCCCAATACGGGCGGCCATCCCTCAGCGTTGATCACTTTGTTATCGGTAAAATTTTGCAAAACTATTTTTCACCGTTGGAAAACCCAACATTTAATTTATCGAAAACAGTAGACGTCAAAATGTGGTAAGAAACATCAGTGATCCACTCGACTTTATCTCGTAGATCACTTTTTAGTTCTTACCGCATTTTGACGTCATCTGTGCATCTCAGTGTAAACTGAACAGACAACGGCAACATGGAATATATTTATTCCATCGCTTACATGAAGGCTGTATACCACTCCAGTTACCGGAAGGCAGACACTTTCTAGTGGTCGGTCCAATCAAGCGATATCCCGGATGACAAAATGAACGTCACAGATTCACCAGTCCAGTATCGTGAGCCATGTTTTTGTCCGTTAAATGGATAACCAGGATCACCACAATTGACTAAGGCTTAAAGATAAAAATAACAGGATAATTATGAAAGATGTTATTCCCGTAAAAACAAATATGATTACAGAAACCGCTACATTTTACTGCGGCCCTATGATTCTGTCAGTGACATAAGCTACTCGGAAAAGAATTCCGAGTTACCCCAACAGGAGTCGAACCTATGACCTTCCGCACACCGGTCGAACGCTCTAACCACTGAGCTGCAGGAAACTCATGGAAACTTAGGCCATATAACCAGGTGGCTTCTTTGTTTTTTTTTTCTATTGAAAAAATGTTACACATTGTCGCGAATGTTTTCCTATTTCTCCCGGTTCCCGCCCTTTTCTTCTCCCGCCTCCCCTAGACTCCCCCCCACAAATAAGCAAATTATTCACATACTCAGGTTTGTGTTGGCTTCCGCTGTCTTATTCTTCTCATTATGAAATAGACACGTGTAGATCCCAGCGTCACTCGGCTTGAAGCGAATGAATGACAAATTCAGTCTTTATTAAATCTTTCCCATCATACATTACCGTAGAAATAACACGACGTCCATCTTTGAACCATTTGAATTGAGGGAGCGGCGAGCCACGAGCTGAACAATTGAACTGTACTCTATCACCGACATTCTGTACTTCAATGTCCCTGGGAGGTCTGGACACATTGGGAAAGGATTCACTTAAAGAAAACAAGTAAACGACACCGTTTACAACCGTGCTTTTTATTCACAAAGAGTTTTTATTTTTAACTCGTGAAGGCGAAAGCAATGAAACGGGTTTATAGCATTTTGGAGACAAATTTCACTCGCTCGGTCGGTCGGTCGGTCGGTCGATGGGATGTAAACCGTAATCGCGCAATTAATTTATGCAAATTATTTTATCATTCACGAGTCAGCTCAAAGGATTCTTTGATCTGATATTCTTAGCCTTACCTACATCTCTTACAGTGATCACTGTTATTGCCCATACATCCCCCAATTCATTAGCTCCTTGGCATAGATAAGCATCATCATCGTCCTCTGTTGTATTCTTAATCGTAAGATTGTTTCCAGCTAAGACATGTCTGTTGATTGGAAGTTCCTTTAGTGATCTTGTCCATGTAATCTCAGGGGAGGGGTGGCCAAAAATGTCACACGTCACAATCGTGTCCCATGTCTTGTAAGCCATTACAGATTTCTTTGGTTTTGTGATAAATTTTGTTGGTACTGCAAACCAAATATATGAAACAATGCAATAAGAAATATAGACATAAATATATGTTTTTTTTATTATTTATTATCCAACTTAGTCAGTAGAGTACAAATATCCCGCGTTATAATCCATCAAATATTTTTACTCGCGCGCGATTGGTCTAAACACGTCACGTGACGCAGCCAAAACTGGGGAATATCACAGTGATATTCCCCAGTTTAAAAATGTGCGTTTTACGTCCGCACGTTCAGTTTTCGTTCAAAATAATTGTTAAATTGTATAGAACAGAGTGTTTTGAACACACTAGCAATATTTTTGAACGCTAACATAAATATTTGACGTGTAAGAGCTTGGCGAAGATCTCCTAAAAAGAGCGGGTCTTGGGTAAAAATATTTGAAGGATATAAGCACAATAGCCTCCATTTGGCTTAAAAATATGCACGGATATTTGTCCTTGGACATTATCTGTTCCTCGTAGCTCACAGTTTTCCTCGAGCTTTGCTCTCGGAAAACTGTTCGCCTCTCGGAACAGATAATGTCTACGGACAGATATCCGTGCATATTTTCGCGCCAAATGGATGTTTATTGTTTTATATATTATTATTTTGTGTCGAGTATGTATTTAGTTGCTATGGAAAACCGTAAGTGCGCGCTTCATATTCTTCGTTTTTTGACGGTCTAAAATCAGTTGGATAATAAATCTCTTATTAAACAGTTAAGTGTCTAGTAATTTACTAGCAAAAATGTATTTAAGCTCCAGAATATTCAAATCATCTGTTTTATTTGAAATGTATTTCATGAAGTCACTTCTGTTCAATGCAAATTTACTCCTTCCAGGAATTATTCATGGTCGAACAAGGACAAGAAAACGTGTTTGTTAATAATGAAAATAATATTCTTGAAGAAAAACCTAAGTCGGAGAACTGTGATTGGCCTAAAACATAAAGCAAGCCGCCATTTTGAAGCAGAAACTCGTGACTTGTCTTTAACATTTGAGGCTCCAGAATATTCAAATTAATCAACTGTTATATTTGAAATTTATTTCATGCAGTCATTTCTGTTAAATGCAAAACGCAAATAACTCCTCAAGTTTACATTTACTTCTTCAAGGAATTATTGATGGTCGAACAAGGACAAGATCACGTGTTTTGTTAATGTGGGCTGAATTGATTACATACCATTGACAGTTACATTGACTGATAGTTGAACTCTGCCCAACAGGTTCTCCGCTGTACCAGGTGTACATACCGCGCGTCTTCAAACTGAATTCCCTTTATTTCCAAGTTTCTTTTCTTAGACTCTTCCTTCCCTCTTCTATCATCACGTGACCATTTTTAGACCACGTGATTACCGGCGTGGAAACCCAGCTGCTTTGCAACGCAATGTGACGTTTTGATCTCTTTAAACGTCACAGAAGGAGGAAAGCTTTGTAGTGAAGTGTGGTGATTCTGCAAAAACAAATTTGACTTGCTGTCATTATTGGATAACTTATGATAATGGAGTTTATAGGTCACCAAAATTACAATGGCTAGAAGTTCAAACGAAAAAACTAATATGGCCAAAGCAAATCTTCTTTTTCTAACGCCTTTCAGGGCAGAAACAATGATAATTTGTAACACAAAATCTCTATACTATGTCAATAAAGTTTGGCACAAGTGTATCCTGAAACATTTTTTAAAAAATCAACTATTTTCCAATCAGCGCCGTCGAATTCTTTTCAATATTATTGTGATCCTGTAAAGCTACTAATTGTGGATTCCCTTAGAGGTATATATCTAAGCTGTTCCAAACGTCTGTTGTGAAGTTAATAGGTTGTCCAGTGCCCCCAGCTTGTACTTGCACTGGGCTTTGCGGATGTTATGTCTGGATCTTAGTATCCATATCCGTGAAAGTCTCTATTAAGATTACACTGAAAAGTATCTTTGCCAATAACAATGTCTTATAATATAAGCTGTTTTACCATTGATTGTTTTCATCACAACACACTACAGCGTCAATTATCCAACACATATCTTACCTAATTGGGTTCCATTACTTCGGTCTTTTTTATGTTGAGTTGATTTCCCAGGGGGACCTGTTGCCCCAGGGCTCCCTGGTGATCCCCTACTGCCTCGCTTTCCTGGGGGACCAGCTAAACCCCTTGTTCCCTTTCTTTCCTCTTTTTCCAGGAGGGCCCTGGGCACCAGTAGGACCAGTTGAACCGGGTGGGCCTGGTGGAGTTTTAATCAATGTGAGTTGTGATAAGGATTTGTGTATTCTGTATACCTGATTCACACATGCTATACACAGAAATCTGTTTTAATTAAGCTAAATGTTGGTAGAATCACTAGCAACCTATGTGGCATTTGAGTGTTGTGGTAAGGGATCCCTAAAAGGGTTCCCTCATGAACATTGATACACGTAAAGTTATCAATGGATAAAGGAGTGTTGTGTGGTAGGGTGGATAAATAAAAATAAAATATTTCGTTAAAAGATGTTGTAAGGGTTAGGTTAGGGTTATGGTAGGAACGGTTGGGGTAGGGAAAGGGTAAGTGTAAGGGTTAGGGTTAGGGTTAGGTTAAAGTTAGTGTCAGTATAGAGGAAGTGTAAAAGAATGTGGTAAGTATAGGGTAAGGTCATGATAGAGGTTTTGGGGTTGTCGGGTTATCATGTTTCTTGTCTTAGAGAACTAGTCCTCTATGGTTTAGTTTTTATCTAGTGGAGCTCTATACAAAAAGAGGAAGTAAGTTAAGGGTAGGCAGCAAAAAGATTGATTAAAAGGATAGTATAATTTTAATATAAAATATAATTTAATTAACATCGTTTCTTAAAAATAATTCAAAGTAATTAAATGTTAACTGTTCTTTTTTCTCCATTTAAAAACCGCCAATCTTCATGGAAGAGGTCTGTTACGTTGTCACGTTTACTTCCGGTATTGTGAGTTAATCAGTAACTATGGCCTCGATATCCGTGACGCACGCCCCTCGTGGGATCCAACCTCGATTCCAGGCTCTCTCTCCTTTTCCTCCCTTGTCGTTGAGTAGAGAGACCCTGGTTGCGGCTGGTCACGTGACCACCCAAATTCTGGGTGGTAAAAAAAATATTCGGAGGGAGGGGTGGTAGAGTGTTAGAGTTGTTGCTGTGACAAATCTACCATGCGAGGGTGAGAGCGTTGACTCTGAGTCCAAACTCGCAGATGCAGGTCTTCAAACAACTCGCAAAGCAAGCACCAAAAAAGTTTGTACATAAGCTTTACTTGCGGTTATTCAAGCTTCTACAGGCTTTGCCAGGCCGTTTGCGAAGATCACTGCGATAATCTTTTCTTGGAAACCGCTTGCGTAATTCTCCAGAACTACACAACTACGTCGGACGTTTTACAACGGAATTTTGTCCATGGAAGAAAGCCGATCATTTCGGTATGTGAACAGCTTTAAGGTAATGAGTTTAAGTGATCGTTAAATTGTATTCACTGCAAAAACTGCCGATGGAAAAATTCCTTCGTACAGTCCGTTTGACATTCGTACCGTACAAGGTTGTTTGATTTTCAAGGAACCGCCGGCGGGCGGCTTCGAGCGGTTGTTGTTTGTAGATTTTTTGACACAAGAAAACTATATATTACGGTCAAACTAACGACAGAATCAGTTAGAGAAAATAGTAAGCTACTCTTTTATCCTAAAATTTGGACTATTTCGCTCCTGATTTCGCTCCAAATGAATTTGTAAATAAATGCCGTTGTGTTTAATTTACCGGAGTTCGCAGGGTCAGTGAACGAGCTCGCCAAGCTTATTGTTTGTTTTCAAACTTGGTTTGAGACCAAGGTGTCTGATTTACAACCTCGTTTAGCTTTACGATCATGAACCTGTCTACTTATATTCTGATTTTCTACTTAGAATTTGTGTTCGCAAAGCGAATTTTCCATTCTTGTAATACAATATTCGCGCCGCTGCTTTTGTGGCTCGAAAATATCCGTCACGTATACATGTTCATGTCATGAATTCGAAGTTGTACAGAATAAAAACAAACGTTCCATACAAATAGCCTGTTTCACTTTTAACATAATCT